CCAGCCTGGGCAACAAGAATGAAATTTCATCTCAAAAATGAATAAATAAAATAAAATAATGTACAAACATGTATGTACACATATTTACCTTATATTTATACCGTAAAATTGTATTAATTACATGCATGTATATATATGTCTGCATTTATATGTCTGTGTGTACATGTATATATATATACACATAGATCACAAAGTTAAACAGTTCAAAAATTTTAAACATCTGAACTTTCATGAGTTAAACTGCAGGTGCCATAATTGCAAAAAATATTTGTATCTCAATATGAATTTAAATTGATAAACATAAGGTAAAAAATTGTCTTTAGATCTAGAGAAGTTGTTTTTAACTTATTAAAGGAATTTAAGTATATGCTGTCAACAATAATGGATTTTCCTATAACTATTATATATTATTTACAATAATTACATAGTTAACTTAATTAGCAAATATTAGAATATCTTAGAAAATGTATAAACAAAGATGAAGGGAATTAAAACACCCATAGTTTTACGAGTTGGAAATAACTTGTGTTACTATTTTTCATCTCGTTCTGTCCTTATTTTCTGTACAAATTATGATACTATGTAAAGTCTTAAATTCTGCTTTCTCTTAATATCACATGAAAAATTTCTCAAGTCCTTGTTCTTTAGAAAAGAGTTTTAACAAAATTATATTTTATTATATTCATATATATTGTTTGTTAACTAGTTTATACATAGTGCTTACTGAATCCTTTTTCTGCATCTACAAGTTATTAATATTTACAGAAACAGAAAGATGTTATGAAGATAAATATAAATGCATATATTGAAATATTTTACTTAGTGTTGTTTATAAAGTGTTTTACGATTATCTAGAGGCCTTGAGTTTATTTTTAAACATTTCAAATCTTCAGCTGTTTTACTTTTCTTCAAATGCTTCATAAATGTCTTTTTCACACCATGTTTTTTGTTGGTTTGCTTTTGGAGAGTCTTGCTCTGTTGCCCAGGCTGGAGGGCAGTGGTACAATCTTGGCTCACTACAACCACCAACCGCCAGGCTCAAGCGATTCTCATGCCTCAGCCTCCTGAATAGCTGGGATTACAGGTGTGCATCACCACACCCAGCTAATTTTTGTATTTTTATTAGAGAAGGGGTTTCCCCATGTTGTGCAGGCTGGTCTCAAACTCCTTGACCTCCCAAAGTTCTAGGATTACAGGTGTCAGTCACTGTGCCCGGCCAGCCATGTTTTTCTTTAACAAGGGGTTCTGACCACAGCTTAACATTCCTTGGGCCAAAGCCTGTTTCTAAATATTTGTTGCTGAGGTAGGTGGAAATTGGATGGTGTTCTAAGGTCTGTGTAAATGAATAGGGCTGCTGGTCCCTAAACCGAAAGGTCTTAGGCTTGAGATGACAATTTTAATGAGGATTGGCACTATTTCCTTATCTTTTTCCTCTGCTGTCAAGCAGGGTTTCTTCCCACCACCTGTACTTTGAAACTACCACCTAAATTATAGTCAGTTCTGCTATCAAGCAGTTTTGAAAATATAAATTTGTTCTACTGTAATTGATATATTAAGGAAGAATTTGAGGATAATTCAAATGCTGTGTTTGCTTATGCATGATTTTGTCAATGAGAAGAACTAGATGAATGCAGAAAACTGCATCCAGCTGAAACCAGCTGTGTAAAAGTACATAGAACGCGCGCGCACACACACACACCCCCCTCAAACCTCTACCAGCCCCGTCCACTTGCCTTGTGTATTACAGTTACATTATCTGTATCTGGTGTTGCACATTTCTGTCAGATTTCAGGTAACTTCCCTCCTACCACTTCACAACAACTCACATGCTGTACACATTCCAACGCCCACTCTCATAAGCAAACTTCAAGTGTTTTTCAAGGTAAGCGTTTTGTGTATTTCTTAACTATTCATTGTGTGTACAACTATGCTACCATTTTAATTCGGTTTGTACCTTTTTAAAAACGTGTCCGGAGACACATTACACTGAGATATGACAAAGTTTTTGTGTGTTGTGCCCCAGCCTCATCTTTTTCCCTAAGCTTTATGGGCTTCATTATGCCATTTGGCATAGAGTGGTAATTTTGGAAACACATATGGTACATGATAGTACAACTGACTGTACAGATCATCTCTGGGAAAGACCCTGCTTGTGTGCAATGGAAAAGTTAATTTTCCCTTAAACTCAAACATTTCTAATCGTTGTTTAGGTTCAAAATTGTTTGTTTTCTGGGCGCGGTTGTTCTAAGGTGGCTTTTGAACATATTGGGACAATGCATTTGTCTAAGTGGCTGTTTCCTTTTTAGCCTTCAGATCCTGAAGAGGTTTTCATTCAGCATCCAGACATTTGTGTTTCCGAGCACCAACTCTCCCCATCTCCCGCCCCCCACCCCTAGTCACTCTGGCCGGCCTGTCACCTATCATGTTTTATTTTTACATTTTGATAGACTGAAATTCTCCTGTATGTTTGATGGCATTGCATATGTTACATTAAATTATATTATTTGTTCATTGTTCCTACTCAGATATTACTTCATAAATGCAGACATGTCATCTGCCTTGTTCGCAGAAGGGTCTCACTGCTTAAAACAGCGTCTGCCACATACTGATCAATAAATATCTCTATGCTGTAAAACACGGGTCCCTTTTCATGTGTTTAACATGAAAACTTTGTAACAGCCATTTGCTTGTATTTGTCCATCTGGAATTATTTTGGACTGCCCTACTATACAAGCCTCAGACTAACATGCATTTTCATAGTACTGTTCACTCGTTGGGGAATAGGTAATCAAATCCAGAAATCAAACTTAGACCTTTGTTTTTTATGCTAGTTTCTAGCCATTTTTTTTTCTTCTTCCTAAACTGCAATTATTTCACTAAATGTCTAAGAATAGCTCCGGGAATACAGCAGCTTGAGTGGTAACAGAGATGGGCAGGGATATGTTGATTCTTGACAAACATCAACTGAACATGTAATTAGAGGTGCTAGCTGGGTTAGAGGAATCGGACTGTGAACCACCTCAGAGATCGCTGAATAAAATGGACTTGCTCACAACACTAAGCTGAAAATCAAGGGCTGAATTCCAGCAAACATTTATCTAGTGCCCCCTAATGGCAATGCCCAGTCCTAAGTGCTGAAATAATAAAATGAAAAAAATAAAAGATGCTTCTTTAAATGAGTGTAGAATTTGATGAGAAAGGCATAAGTGCCACACATAAACATACAGCCAAGTTCTAAATACGTGATGTTTAAAAAAAAATATGTGAACATAGTCACAGAGAAAGGAGCACCTACTATTTATTATTATTATTTTTTGAGACAGTCTCACTTCGTCACCCAGGCTGGAGTGCAGTGGCGCAATCCTGGCTCACTGCAACCTCTGCCTCTCGGGTTCAAGTGATTCTTGTGCCTCAGCTTCCAGAGTAGCTGGGATTACAGGCATGCACCACCACACCCAGCTAATTTTTGTATTTTTAGTAGAGACAGGGTTTCACCATGTTGGCCAGTCTGGTCTCCAACTCCTAGCCTCGTATGATCTGCCCACCTCAGTCTCCTAAAGTGCTGGGATTATTACATATTATTTTTCAGACACAAGGTCCTGCTCTGCTGTCCAGGCTGGAGTACAGTGGCATGATCGTAGCTCACTGCAGACTAGAACTCCTGGGCTCAAGCAATCTCCCCCAACCCCTCGCCTTGGCCTCCCAAAGCTCTGGGATTACAGGTGTGAGTTACAGTACCTGGTGCATTTGGGTTGGGGGAGATATATTGGTTATGATAAGGGCTGGCCATGAAAGGGGTGCTGTGCCAGTCACCTGCCTGTGTTTTCTCAAATCCATTTCCCACTCCCTCCCAGTTCACTTTGTATTCCAGAAAACAACATTTCCCAGGCTCCACTGCCCACTGGCTTGTGGCTGAGTTTGTGCAGTTAAAAGGGTCGGCAACAGCTGAGAGGACCAGAGCAAGAGAAAAAGCAAGCTACTTCTCCCTACCCCTCTGCTTGGGCAGCATCACAGGACAGGCAGTAGTCACGTCTCCTCCATGGCTCCAGCTCCTGCCAGACAAGTCCTCCACGACTGCAGCTTCAACCTGGTGGTCCTGGCTGCAGGGCCCTGGTAATACCTGGCTCTCTCTAGCACAGGGAAGTGAGAGGCTTCCTATTGAGGCTGATCTTAGGGTTGCCTCACCTGTTCCTATTTGGTATTTCTGTTCGGCCATTAACCCAGCACACATTTTGTGTATTAACTCCCCTCTGTTTGACATGTATAGGGATGCTTGCTGATTGCCTGACACAGGTGATACACTGCTCCTGATAGGAAGGAGGCGCATGGGCTCTGGCCTGGAAAGGAATAAAGATTCAGGAATTTAGTCTGGTGGAAATGGAAAGGTTTAGGGCCACCTAAAGTAACAGGAAGTTTCACACATGCCGACACTGAGCTCATGAGGCAACACCACTCTGCGTCTGGGCCTTCGGGAAGGCTAGGGAGGGTTTTATGCCTGTACAAATGTTTCAGCCAAATATCAGCACCAAATGATGTCCAGGGAGAAATGCCACTTACGTAGGTGAGCCACAGGGCTGAAAAGATGGATCCAGTCTATCACGTTATTTCCTGCTAACTTTAAATCAAATAGTTGGGACTCTTGGGGAATGACTCACCCATAGTATTTGGAAAGGCAGAGCTGGAAGGGATCTTCTTCCAAATTATATGCATGAGAGCACTAAAGCTCTTATCTGTTAAAATGATTTGCTCAAGGTCACACAGCTGGCATAGCCAGAGGCGAACTCCTCTTTCCTGATTCCAGGTTCACAGCCGTTTTTACTCATCTGCTGTTTTTTACCACTCCCCATGTTTCAGTTCATTCCATGCAGGTTTGGTCTTTTGGTAATCACAAGGTTATGAACAAATTTGAATGAGTTTATGAGTTTGTTCCCCATCTATAATTTCTAATTCTGAACTAATAATAATAAGCATGTACTCATTCTAAAATAACCAGTTTGGACTAATTTTTAAATCAAAGTAATTTAATAAACATTGTATAGTTAATTGAAATGCAGGTAGAATTCATACATTAGTACATACATTCTGCCTTGTTAGTGAAAAAAAAACCAGCAAAAAACCTCAAGCCTGTGGTGTTTACTATTTCTTATGCAATTAGCCTCTATGAAATCCTATACATGCAACACTTCTATGTTTAGAATGAACACCAAGGGTTTAGGATTAAAAAAAAAATACCTGAGGCAAAGACTTTAGAGACATTATCTGTTTAATAAATATGATTGTAAAAGCAATAAACAAGAGCAATTATACATTACACTACATAGTATTTAACAAAAAATACATCAAAAAAGTCATTTTAAAATTAGAAGTAGTTCCAATACTATAAGAAAACTTTTTTTTTTTTTTTTTAAATTGGCTTCCTATAAAAATAAGTCGGCAAATGAGAGATTTCAATGCTCAGTTGGATTCCTGGAAAACACAGAACAGCTGCCAAGCACCCCATTGCTCTCAAAGTTGCTGTTTGGAACTTCTGAAAAAAAGCAAAGCAAACCTCTGCATTTTGGACAGTGAATCCAATTAAAAATAAGGCAAGGGAGAAAGTGTTGCGTGGGTGGTTCAGGGTAGAACATGCACAGTTTGCCTTCTGGGATTTTGGAAAACGTTGCAGTATCGGATTTTTAGCTTGCCCTGAATCTTACCTTCCACATACATTCCTCCCTACACATTCCTCTGACCTTAAGCCCACCAAACTCCTTGTGTGTTTGCACCTGCGATTAGTGAGTAGGTAGGCACTTAGGTCCCTCCCATTTGTAGGCTCTCATTACTGCCTTCTCTTTGTGAGTCAGCCGGAATGGCCTAGTACAATGGTTCTCAAACTTTAGTATGTATCACAATCACTGGGAGGGCTCGTTAAAATAGATGGCTGGGCCCACTATCACTTAGCAATAGAGAACACCACTATTCATCCCCTAGAGTTTCTAATTCAGTAGGTATGGAGTACGGATCCAGAATCTGGATCTCTAACAAGTCCAAGTGATGGTGATACTGCTGATTCAGGTACCACACTTTGAGAACAACTGGCCAAGGTCATAAGAACAATGAGGTCCTCCTCTCTGAGCAGCACCTTGCCTCACTAATCTCCTACAGATGGGAGGGAGCTTTGAGGAGAGGCACATGAGGATCCTGGAGATGCTAGATCTCTAGTTGGCCATCTTTGGTCACTTTCCAAAATGCCAGGCATCTCATGTCTACCTCTATTTTTAATTAGGATTTACATTCCATTCTTCCCTATGTCTTTCCATTCATTTATTTCTTCAACAAATAATTTTCATACTACTACTCTAGGCAAGGCACTGTGCTAGAATAAAAGTGTTATTCCTTTTTCATACTTTTCTAATTAAAATGAATTGAACTGCAACTCTGAGGACTCCCTGTGCTGGTCTGAGTGAGCCTCTTTTGGTTTTCCAACACTTTGTCTTCCAGATTAAATTTGGGAGGCTCCAACTGAAGAGGATCAATGAGGATGTTTCCTATGAGATAGGAAGCCTGGCAGGTTGGGGATCAATTGAGTTCTACAAATAGGTGGCTGCCTCAGGCCTAGCCCATTTCCCAGATTCATATGGGGTATCCTCAATACCCCTGCCTGATAAACTTCTGACAGCAGCTTTGCTATTCTTTCTGTGCCTGAACTACATGAAGTCATGGACATCAGGATCTTTAGGACACCCTCATTATCACCAGGGCCTGTGTTATACACTGTTGGCTTAGGGACATAGCAAAGAAGGAGGCTGAGCATACTAAGAGGTTTATCAGAACTTCTTTCTCCTATAGTTTACAGTGGTCTCTGCCCAGTTGATAATACTAAAGGTGCCTCTGCTGAACAGGCTTTTGTCTCCCTCTTTCTCTGGGCCTTCTTTCATGATTACCCTGGGGAAAACTGGGGTTTCTTCATGCTTTGCGCCAATCTTTTTTGCCAATCAGCTAACTTTTCTCCTTTATACAGACATAAATCTTTCCTTTAATGATACTACAATACTCAGAGGTCAGAGAGCACACATGAAATCACTGGGATCATCCTAAATAATCAAACTCTCACCCTAATGTAAGATAAGACCCCCATTTATTCTCTCAGACTGTTTGACACTCTTAAACACAAAGTCCATTAACCTGTTTCTCCTTCTAGTTAAAATCAGTTTTATTTCACAGACATTTCTATTCTATTGTGAGTGGAAATACTGGGTAACAGCAACCATCACAGGAGGAAACTGCCCTGCAAAACTGTCACACATTCAAAACATTTCTCACAAGAATCTTCTGGAATCAGATTGCACGAGATTTTCGTTAAGGTGTGAGAACACCACAAATCATCTCTATGCTTTCTTTTCCAAAGTACATGGCCAGGTTTGAATTGCTTTGCATATATCAACTCTTTCACATATAGTATACGTTTGCAGGTGGGAAAAGGCGGGGATATTTGAAAAAGGCAGGTTCTAGAGGAAAAGACAAAGATACATGAAACTGAACCCTGCTGTGCAGGATGCAGTAAGGTCCATGGGCACAGAAGCTGGCATGCTTGGGAATGTACAAAACTGACAAAGGGCTCAGAAACTTGCGAGTGGTGGAGGCAGGGGCGGCAGAGGCCAGGCCAGTATTTAGGAAACATCAGGGTTAATGTCCAGAATCTAGCAATATGTTTGGGAAGAAAAATTAAGAACAGTTGAAGGACAACTTACTTGGGGTTTGGAAGGAAGACATTCAAAGATATCAACAGATAAGGGTCACACATGGATGACAAACAAATGTGAAGACAGGACAATGGGTAACTAATGGGATTCCATTTCCTACTGCAGTTGGGGCAGGAGTAGGGAAAGCTGCAAGGGGAGGCAATCATGGTGGAAAGAGGTGAACAGGAAACCAAGGTCCATTTCTGACATGCTTTGCCTCCCTGCCTTCCTTATTCTACCGGCACAAAGGGATCTTCAACTCGCATCTTTGTTCCTGTGGCCACAGAGAGCGCAGAAAGCAGCCTCGTGGCCACTGCTGACCAACAGAGCTACCAAAGCTAACTTAGAAGGGAAATGACAATATGGAAAGTGGAACAGAGAAACAGCTCAGGGTTTCAAACTCCTGTGCATGTCTTTGTGTCTTATGAAAGGAGCTGGGGTAGCTAATCCACCCATCAGCCTTAAATGCTAAAATAGCTGATAATCTGGAGCCAAGAATATTTCCAAAAATACATGCAGATTTCCTTGGCCTATATATGTTATGAATTTTCTACAAACACGACCGATCAGAAAAAAGAGAGAGGAGAAGAAGAAAGAGGGAGAGGGGAGTGTTTTCCATTAAAATAGAGCACCTGTACACTGCCCCTCCAGACATGTTCTCAGAGTATCATCCACATGCACAGGCTTAAAGCTAAAAACCCTTGTTGTCTGTGTCTGAAGAATTAAAAAGTCCCGATGCAGTGAGTGTTTGTTTGTTTGTTTGGATTTTGATTGTTTATATTTTATGTTTTGTTTTTGTTTTGTTTTTTTACTGGCGTCCTCCATTCAAACATTTACATAGGTAGGGATTTCTTTTGTGCTTTGATTCTCAGCAACTATGGAAATACTTCCTGGCAAAACAGGAAACAGAACAACAAAGGAAAGAAAAGAAACACAAAGTTAGTGGTCATGAAGGATGATGTACTTGACAAGAGTGAAATTCTTTCCTGATCAGCAGGTCGCCTGTAGCCTTTGGGGGTTTTCCTTAAATTGCATACTGTGCCCCAGCAGATCCCCGCTTTGGCGTTGAAGGCGGAGTGGCGTGTCTTGCTCTTTGCAATCGGAGAGATGAGTCACCAGGTTGAGTAGAAGGGGAGGGAGGGGAGGGTAAAGCTACTCTCCTAAGAGAAAACGTGTAACACTTACTCATTTAATGACACTGGAAAGGGAAAGGTGTCAGAGACTTTGCAATGTGCTGCGATATCTTCCTGGTGAAGGAGGAATTACTACTTTAATAAAGCAAGTAGAGGCTGTGCTTCATACCCTACGGAAATGCAGCTGAGAACCAAATGATCCCAAAACATGCACTTAGAAGCTTTAGGAATGAGTAGACAGGGTGAATGCCTCTCTGGACTTGAAGACAGAAAAGGCTTTTATTCTTTTTAACCCCAAGCAATTACACATTTATTACCTTGTCTCCTCAAATAAAAGAAAGTGCACTGTGAAAATTGGACACCAGATGTGACTGCAGTTATCATTATCTATGATAGGAATCAGTCACTGCATTTAAATTTCCCCTTAACACAGCCACAGACCTTTCCCATATTCATTTAAAGAGGGTTATGTTTCCATTTACATACTCATTGTTTTCCAAGTAAGATTAAATTGTATGTAAAGGAGGTGGTTTGGCATTATCACATTAGAGTGGAGCATGAATGGTTATATAATAATTTATTCACTGTTGCCAGCAATGCAGGATCTAAATGTAAACATATAAGGCTTCAACTCCTAATGCCAACAGACAGGAGGAACCAAAGAGAGAAATTGATCAGCAATAGTGGCTTCATGGGTTTGCCTAGCTTCCTGGAAAATTTCTTCTGCAATAAATAGCAGAATGTAGCAAGTGAACGTCAGATTCTCTATACCTCATTGTTGGATTCCCGTGCCTACTTCACGGGCAGAGAGAGCACCACTGAAATATGACAAAGTCCATTTTACAACTTCTGGTAAGGGACAGTCAAAAAAGAGGAAGAAATTTGCTAATCTGCTCTGTAATAGTCTCACCCACCAGTGGTCTCTCTCAGGATTGCTCCACTCCCTGGATGTCTGCAAACTTTATGCCTCTTGTCCTCAATCTTAGGTTCCAAATCTCCTGAGGGAAAGTTCCTAGACTACCAATAGATGTAAAAAAAAAATTCCTTGGATGATCAGGCTGGCCACTCATTATGTCACTCCTCTACTGGTGTTCCGGAGCAGTCTGACCTCCTTAGGGCTGTATCCAGTTGAGGCTACCATGTTTCATTCTAGTCAATACATACCGTGTCCTGCAAACCCTGCCCTGCCCTCTGGTCCACCAGCCCTAGCCTCTGAGGCCTCTCCTTCTTATATACTATTAAAGCAAATGCTTTGCTGTTTGCCCATAAACATATAACATTTTAACATTTTAAGCCCAATATTTTAGGGAGGGTTTTGCAAAAGGAGGAATAAACTAATGAGAGAAAAAAACTAGATAGAAGCAAGAGGTTTGTTTGTTTTTCCCCCATCCCAATGAGAGGAAGCAGGGAAAAAGCCATCTTAGCTGTTTCTCTCAGGGCTGTTAGAGCAGAAGAAAGTGGTTAGGTCAAGCCAGAGAGGGGTTAGAGAGAGAGTCAGCCATTGCCTACTCAGCTGAACAGCTGGTGGCTACTGGGAATCATTTACCTATGAGCTGGGATTCCACCTTCTCATCTATAAGCTGGCCAGGCCTCCTTAGTTCAGTCTGAGGGACATTGGGCCTGCTTTCAGAGTGACTGACTGGACTGATCATCTCTTGTTCTTTCTCATTCTGCATCTGGGCATAAACATTAATCCCCGGGATCTTCCTAAAATATTAATAGAAACCATCACTGCTGTGCACATCACTGTAACACAAGCTTCTGAACCTGTCAGGGAGAAGGAAGAGGTCAGGGGTGGGGGGACGTGGAGGGAGGGACACGCACCTTTTAAACTTGTAGATGACGAACACCGCCAGCCCCACAAACACCACTGAGAGCAGCATCAGCATGGCAGATCCACTGTGGGTTGGAGTGAGGTCCACCAGGGGGGCTGGGGAGGGGAAACAGAGCAGAGAAAAATGAGTAGAGAACTGGGCAGGTGAGACGCTATGAGAGGTTCAAATGGTTCACACACAAGCATGGTAAGTCCCGGAAAACCATGTCGGGTATACACACAAGAAGCACGTCACATGACTGACATGGGATGCATCTAAGCCCACCCCTACTCCCACCCCAAATGTTCCTGCTCTGCAGCAAAGCAATGAAAACTACAGACCCCAGGGCCAGGCTGTCTGGTTTCAAGTCCCACTCTAAGTAGCTATGTGGTCTTGGGCAAGTTGCTTCACCTTAATGTACCTTATGTGGTAAAATAAAAACAATGGTATACACGTCATTGGGTTCTTATGAGGATTAAGTGAGCTAGTGTATGTCAAGCAGTGAGAAAAGTGGCAAGCACATAGTAAGTCACGTAATTACTAGATTTCATTTCTACTGCTGCTAGTGTTATTATCAATCAATATTTATAATAATATAATAATTGTATTTTACTATACTCTGAGTGTAAACTTTTTCCACAAAGCAAAACAGATTGCCAATAAAACCACCTGCAGGAATATATTTGTGAATTCAACCATCCCCTCACCCCTACTCCAGTAGTTGTCATGTGAGAAAAATAATTGGAAAGTTGTTATATGTGAGAGAAAGAAAAGCAAAGTGATGGAGCATGCTTGTATTTCTGTACACAGGAAACTAATGGCCAAGTGAATATTTCACAAGGCCAGCCGCTGACATGCTGAAGGAGGGATATGCCACCTGACTGTCTCAACAATTTCCTAAAAGCTCTGACAGCCCTCACCAAGATGCTCCAGCCTCTTAAATACAGTGAGTTTTTCTCCCAGACAAAACAGAAGCCTCTGCCTCCATAAAAGAGTCTCCCTCCCTGAGTTTCGCCTTAAAGCGCAGTCTGGAAAACACTTCTCTCCACCTCTACACCTTCCGCCATCTCACAGTCAAACCTGTTGTACCTGTAGACTTTGCAATTAATTTCTACCCTCTTAAAAGCTGACATTTTGCAAATGTAGCGTAGCTCACGCATAAAAGACAAGCCACATGTACTCCAGGGAAGCCTTGGTGCTGACCTTTACCTTCCATCAACTTAAGCAAACCCTGATACCCAGAAATACAGGTGACCTTTAATCGCCATTTTCTGTGGTTTTCTCTGGTGTGAGCTGAGAGGGCAATGTTCTAGTCACCCAGGTAAAAAAGTTCAAGAATAAGTGACTATAACACTGATGGTCTCAGACAAGATTCTCAGTTGCTTCTGCTCTATGTTTTTCAGGATTACATCTCAGTCACTCTGTATTGATACTGGAAAGCATATTGCATCTAATCACATAGTTTTGGTGAAAAATGAAAATAGTCATTTCAGGAGAGTTGGCTTTCAGGAGGCACTGAATATAAGGAACCCCCCACTATTTTCTCTCCCCTGTAAGTCAAGCATCACCTCAGTTTTGAAATGGGAGTACGTGAGTTTGTGTGTAAAAGATGAGGTGGGGGGGATCCCACTGACATGAAACATCCAAGGCAAATTTTCTTTTGGTTCAAAATTAGAAAAGAAAGCTCTCAGTACCATCGGTAGAGAGGTCCAGAAATTCTTCAGAACTCACTGTGCAACTGGTAGGATGTCATCAGGGGAAAAGAACACCTTCCATTTGTCATAGACATTATCACAATTGATTTTCACAAATGGAAGGCAGTGATTATGATCCCATTAAACAGATAGCAATGAAGTTCTCATTGGTTAGCATTGTTTTAAAAGGACTTAGAACTTACTAGTAAACAGAAGAACTAAGACTTGAACCCGAATCATCATATACGCACGTGCACACACACACACACACTTTCTATATACTCAATCCTGGGCTAATTTCAGTAAAATATATATTTCTGAGGATGGGGATTAGGACTAAGACTATAGCACAAGAAGCAAATTAACAACTGGCACAAGTTAAAATATTAAGTTTTAAAAGGAGCAGTAGGAATAATAAATCATGTACTCTTAAGTTTGGAAGACAGGTATATGTACACATATATGCATATGTGTGTATATGTGTATGGATATGTGTGCATGCAACCACACACACACACACACAGAGAGAATACAGAAATGAAGCCTCTTGTACCTACCACCCAGCTTCAACAACCATCAACTGACAGCCAATCTTATTTTATCCAGTTCCCACAACCTCCAACCACTGGATTATTTTGAAGTAAATCTTGGAAAACCTATAATTTAACCACCTGTAACTCTAAAAGATCTCTCTCTCTCTCTCTCTCTCATTATTATCACAATACCATCATCACATCAAGGAAATTATATTAGGAAGGTGTTTTAAAGGCAATCTTCTAACGTAAACCCTTCATTTTTCAGGGAACAATGGAGGCTCAAAGAAGGGCCACAGATGATTGGAATGGTTAGAGGTTGAAATAAAGCTAAACTTTTCACTCCTAGCTAAATGCTCTTTCAGCATAACCAGAATACCAGTGATATGAAGCAACTAAGAATACTGAGCTTGCTTGAAAAGTTTGGCATTTGAAATAAATGGAAAACTAAGAGAGAAAATTACTTTGTCCAAGCTGTCAGCAACACAGAAAGCAAACTCACATATGCATGCATGCGTGCGCGCGTGCGCGCGCACACACACACACACACACACACACACACACACAAATGAACTTTTTCCCTTCTCTTTCCTTCCTCCTATCTCTCCCTATCCCCAGGTTAAGTCTTTCAATTCTAAATCATTTATACTTAAATCATCATTCTTCAACAAGCAGCATTAACACTGTTAAGTAATTAGCATATTATTCTAGGAAAATGAACTTCCATATCCCAGTTCTAAAATGTGTGTTATCCTTTCGCCCTCCCCATCTCTGCATCAGTCAGTCACTTCTCAGAGGCAGGAAGCAGGAAGCAGGAAGCAGCCAGCAGCAGTGGCCAGAGACTGACTACCACTGCCCTCTGTGTTCTGTGGGTGGCTTCTGTTTGCTGATCTGTGCCTGAATATAAACGGACCTATTATTGCTCCACACAACAGCAGTTGCATTTCTTAGTTTGCCCAACACTTCGGTGCATTTGTGTGTGTTTTGCTGAGGAATGGAAACTTGTGATAAATGGGCTTTAGCTTGTTGTGTGGAATTAGCATACATTAATCCCTTTCCAGTTGCAGCTTAAACAAGGTAGACGTGTAGAAAAAGTGCTGAGCAGTTTTTTGCCATTATTCATGCACAAAGTAAAACATGGATATAAGCAGTTCTCCAAGTGACTCAACATTTCTAAGCCTGCGTACTTGCACATATCATTTCTAAAATCCTTTGAGGAGTTTGGAAATGCATTGAATTTTTATATTTTATTCACGAGGACCTGGGATGATAATAACGGGAACACTTACAATAACAACAACAATTTTCTTGTGAAAAGTGATTGCCATGTAGTAAGTGCTAAATAAGTGGTTATAGTAGTATGTATGAGAACAAATTCAAAATTCCACCTTTGGGGTTCAGAAACGATATGATCCCTTTTCAGAATCAGACCTGGCTCCATCACTTATAGATTAAGTGACTTATATTAAATCTCAGTTTCCTCATCTGCAAAATGGAGATGAAACTAGTGTTTGGTCTAGAAAGTCGTGAGATTAAAATGAGATGGAATTTATAAAGCACTGTCATAGTATTTGGGACAGACTACATGCCCAATATTTCTAACCTTGTCATTTTAATGCTATCGTATTTCTGAAAGTGTATTCTTCTACAGAAAAAAAATCCTGAAAACTGATGACAGTTCTATGGTGAGATAATTTGGGGCAATGATACATACAGCATTCCTCATGTGGAGATTCACAATGTACGTCAGTATCTTAAAGGGTCACAGCAGCCCTTGCAGAAAAGAACACATTGAACTTTACCATAGTCTTTCATAAACTCATTTGACCACAGACCCTTTGCAGAACTAGGTTCCATGTAACACTCTAGGAAATGCCTCTCCCCAGGCACTGCTTTCCCTGTTGCTGCAGTTTTTTCGTTTTATTTTGTTTTTAGATGAAATCTTGCTTTGTCACCCAGACTGGAGTGCAGTGGCACAATCTCGATTCACTGCAACCTTCTCCTGTGTTCAATCAATTCCCCTGCCTCAGCCTCTTAAGTAGCTGAGATTTCAGGCACCCGCCACCACGCATGGCTAATATTTTTTTTTTGTACTTTTAGTAGAGTTTGGGTTTCACCATGTTGGCCAGCCTGGTCTTGAACCCTAACCTTGAGCGATCCACCCGCTTTGGCCTCCCAAAGTGCTGGGATTACAGGTGTGAGCCATCACACCCTGCCCCCCTTGCTGCAGTTTTTCCCTTTGCTTGGTTTATCTCCAAGTTTTAAGGTCAATAGTATGGTAGCATCACCCAGTGAAGCCATGCAGAATAATCTTATTGTTGTCCAGTGTTCACTTTCATTCTATCAAAAGGACTTTTCTGGAGAACTGCTACTTGCACTATGACCCCGAAACTTTCAACTCTAATTCTAATCCAAGAGAGTTAGTGTTGTCAGGATGTTGCAGAAGTAATTTACCATACCTTGATTTTCTTTTTTCCTCTCCTGACCCCAAAGTAGATCAATTCAGGTTTGAGTTACATGCCTTGAATATCACGAAATCCATGTGGTCTGAAATATTTTTTAAGAATTACAGTGATATGGGAATAGCACAGAGAAAGTTTATGCAGAATGCAGAATGGGCAGAAAGGCTTCTATTTACAGAGAACTCTCAGTTGTCCAATGGGCCTTTCCTCCATTTAGAAACAAATCCACTCACGAGAGTCTTAAAGTTTGCTACGTTATTGGTATAAAGCCACAAGACTTCAGACCAGACCATGTGGGAATTTCCAGGGAAGTCTCTTGTTAAAGTAGCCAATTGGGAAGCCATTAGACTGAGGCAGCTCTGGAGTCCTGGATTCCTATGTAAGCAAACCAAAATCCAAGTAAACAGTCATATTCTAGGAAAACGAA